AGAGAGATAAATATGGCATGTGTTTCCTGATTCACCTTTATCATCAGATTTTGACCAGCCTTTACCAATACATGCTGTCAGCTTGTACTGGTCCTGATATTAAAAGTACGCTTTAGCAACTATACAGTTCTGCGACGAACAACCTTATTTCTTATTTGTTAAAAGGATCCCACCTCTTAAGCTGTGATGCTATGTTGGGATTAGGTATCAGTCCTGAATACCAAGGGGCTGAGGTTGACGAGACTATTGTAGTAACAGGACACAACTACCACCACCACCACCATTTATTCATTCTCTGTTACATTTCACTCATTCTTTTTATTGTCTCTCTCACTCCTGATAAGTTCAGGTAGCAAATTGTCATTTTTCACATAAAAGGAATAACCGCTAGTAATATGGTAAATTTTTTCATGTCTACACAACCAATGTCACGCATCCTGCAAGCAGACTTTCGGCTATTCATTCAAGGTGTATAAGTGCACCCACCCATTCATTCGCACACATAATTTGTGACGAGCAGAATTATGTCCTGTCCAAAGCCAGGTTGTGTTCATGACGTCAAAGTGGGCGTGCACTTACCAAGTGTGGTGAACTTCCCCAGAAATGTCGGTGACTTGATGGAAATAAGCGGGAATAGGATCAGAAGTAACCAGACAGGAACAGTTCGATCAATAACCCATAGTTTGTTGAACACCGCATTATCGATGGGAGATTCCACAGTGATATTGCGACTTGGACAAAGCACTGAAAGGTGAATAGATTGCTCAAAGTAAAAAATATCAATGGCGGACGAAATTATGAAAACATAAAAACGGTACAGAGCAGCTTGACGGTTAATGAAAGTAATGTAGTTGACTATAATAAATATCAATTATGCTGGGGGATGATGTCATTCCGTGTACGATAAAAAGTGGTGCCAAGACCTGGTTTTATCATTGTCAGCATTCTGAGCAATTACGGTAGGTTTTGTGTATTACTCTTGACGTTGGAACTGTTGCGTTGGTTGGACAAGCAAGTAAACATTCATTTCAGTTATATATGAACAACATGCACCGCCCGAAGTAAAGTGACAAAAACTGGATGGACATCAGGTATAGTACTAGGCGACGACAGAGTGACCGGCTGCCTCTTGCCATTCACTATAATGATATCTATTGTCCACACGTTAGTATCTAATTAGACTTTTCTACGGTGATGCTCTTCATGTTTTTTGTGGCATAACCAGGTAAGCCTTACCAGTGGCCCAGGGTATTACTGTGATGATTATCATCCGAAAAATCAAAATTTGAACTTCCATTTTCGCAATCTAGAAATCATTTGGTACCTTCAGTGGGTTACAAAAATATGAACATGATCCTAGGTGCAAGACAGTCTTGTGATAAAGTGTTTGGTCGCAACGTTTGCTCAGTGCAACAGGCAGCGTTTTTTAGATAACGAAAGCTAGTATTCTGTCCTACATTTGACCAGTGCTCGGCACGTGAACATCGGCGTTAGGTTACGCGAAGCTCCGCATATTTGGCCAGGTTGCGGGGTCCTCGAACGCCAATACATACCAGCGCATAAGGGAATGACTGCCTACTCCGAGTATAGGAGTGCTGATAACAGTCGGCTAAATCCTGCATAAACGTATGACGATAGGGATTTGTTATCGTGTAGACTATTAAACGCAAGAGAATCCCTGGAAACAGACGGCTTTAATTCTTGAGTTCACGAGTACAATGTGACATTTAGCTTTAAGCCCTGTTTCCCGTGATGATCAAACTTTAAAATCTTAGGAACAGCACATCGATTTCGTAGTATCTTACGAAAATTTGCTTGTGATCGACTGTATTGGAACTGGGACAGACTCAATGTCAGGCAACGACTGAGCTAGTCTGAACCAGCTGTATCCGCGCACCGTTGGTGAATAAACTGCACTAGATTAATAAAGCAACGCGGCTCAAAACAAATTGACTTACTGTTGTTTATTTCTCTGCCGTTCACTATAATTGTGGGAGTGGTGGGAAATTGATGGGTTGCACTGCCTAAAGTGAAAAAGCAAAACAGTGCCTATGGATACGCACTACGCCATAAAAGTGTCCACAGCTTGAAGCCAAAGGGGAAACACAATAAAATTAGACAGTTTGTTCAGTTTCCATGGAGAAAGTGTATTACAAAGCTGCTTCAGGAGAATGACGGAAACTTTCAGGCAATGGATAAAATACGTACAGTACATAAATGAGCCGAAAATGGAGCAATGGAACAATGATGTATTACTTGGAAAGAGCAAGCATCTAACAGTTTTCTTGGGACGGCCAAAATGTGAAGCACAAAATAAAAGAGATAACCCGGTGATTTTTGAAAAGCGTTTTATAGTCACATCCTGATGTTAATACCGAGGCGCGTTTGGGCGCTTACCTTAATAGTATAAAAATATATGTGTATCGGTTGTCACGTTATATCTTCTCCCGATGTGCTTAGGCGATATCACGTAATGTAGGTGGGTTAGACCTACTTCAAGGCGATTTCTAAACGCATAATTGGAGGCGGAGATAACATAAGTAGGGACACTGTTCCACGGCTGACAGACAGGTAGAGTGTAAAAGTTCTGCTGACAGTTTAGCTGGCTATACTGTGTGGACAAATTAAACTAAGCTGCAGTGCACAGCGGCAGATGTAGTTGGGTTTGCACTGAATCTGCTAGGTCATCCACCCAGTGTGGAGCGGACTACGGCCCAACTACCGTCTTGTGTACGTCTGGTACGCATGATTCTCTAGGTAGATAGACAAGAATGCTGCCACTGTGCACGTTGAAGGAGTATGGGCCGGCTCCGTTGATGAACGGTGGCTCCAATCCACATGTCACCTGGTCCAATTCCTTCGGGTTTACACTGGAGATGGGGTGTGCGGATGGGGCAGCGGAAGCCACCCATGGTCCCTCTGTAGGCGCAGGCTTCCTGTAACTGTGCCATGGAAGCCACAGTGACAGGCAACTCCGGAACCAGATGCTGCCAACCAATCTTTATTATCTTGAACAATGCACAATGAACGATGATTTGTCACGGGATAAAAGCAAGTGCTTGACACGTCCCGTAGGATGGTTGGGGTGCATACGATGAGATCAAAATACATGTGAGTCATCTACTGAGCGTCTACCGGAATGAAGGCGCTGATAAATAACGTCAGTTTAACATAGAAAGTAAGTGTGTGCATGCAGAAACACACGGGTCCAGTGGTCCTTGATGTAAAGCGTCAGCGTGGTAAAATATGGTCGCTCACTTGGGTGCATGAGACACCTACATTCTGTAGAAAGGCATGATCTTGAATTCGATTTGTTCAACCTAAGTTTATCTTAATAAATTCAATGCTTAAACCATGTGTCAGAGTGTCCTTAAACAACAACGCCAGAAGAACTTGGATTAATACCCTAAGGTCACGCTCCGGGGTCAGTGAGGACAAAACGTGTTATCCAAGTCTATACGTGCTTATTGGTCGACGATGAATGTGGACTAGCTTACAGTTTAAAGGGATCGACAAAAGCAGATTTTTGAGTGACCATTAATGCGAGATCTCCAAATCTCGTTTAAGCGCATCGCGGTCTCGAAGACTTTCGGAGTACAGACGAGGACGGGACAAGCCGGTGAGTTTCAGTTTTGGAAGGAGTGACGTCCGAACTCCTGCACTTCGGATGCGGTCCTGGTGATAGGACTGACCGGGGTCCACTTCAAGTTTGGCCGAAATCTCTATAGAAATTGTGTGTAGAGCTCCAGGCATGCGACGGGCACTCCTAACCCAACTTTGGTTCGTGAACTTCTTGGTCGGCAATCATCTGCCAAATCCTAACTCTCTCAGTAAAATGTACGAAATCCGAGGTGATCAAAGGCGTAAGACAGTTAATGGGCACGAGGAACAGATGCAATCGCAGTCGCAATACTAATCCTCGTGGAATTCACACAATATGGGAATCGGGTCGAACAATACAAGAAGACATCCAACCAATAGCTGCCGACACTGAGAGGAACCCTCAGCCCATGAGAGTACAGGATCCCCGACTCCGTAACTTTCAAACAGGTGAAACCGAATGCAATGGTCAAGGCGATCGAATGCTCTGCATTTGTCGAGGTAAATGACACCAGTCCCCATAGATTTGTCCGTCGTTTCCTTCGAAGTACTACATGCAATCAGTAGGCTGAATGCACGTGAGCAGTACTGACAGAAAACCTGCTGCTCTGGTGTTAAGATGCGTAGCGTTACAGATGGCCGAATAAAGCCTCAATTATGATTGTCCCCATTACATTTCAGAGTACAGGAAGAACACTGGGTGATCGTTTATGGGTTTCTTAAGACCACTACTTGTAAATGTGTGATCTGACCATAGTTCCACACGATAGACTCCGTATATTTATCCAAGCACATTTGGAAGAAGTGCGGTAATGTATCGGCCAGCATTATTGCTGTTACGTGTAACGCCATTTGATGGATGTCATCGATTCCATGAGAATTTGGATTGCACAATGAGAACAGCTTCTCTAACACATTTGCGGTGGTAAACGTGATGTAAACAACTCCTGGAGTTGTGACGGTGGGTGCGCGCGTGTTACACTGGTAGATGTTTCATTGGAAGGTTAAGGCATATAGCATCCATAGAGCATTGGCCGCTTCCTTAGCATCATACGCTACTCCGACTATCGTGTTGAGGGCTGGAACACCGTGTTCCATTTTATGAATACCGTCAGCAATTTTGTACACCAGCTTTCGCTTTTTGCGAAATTTACAAGTAAGACATTTTTGTTGGGCCAATTTGTACAAAAGGAAAATGGTTTTGCAATGGTTGCGCTCGGTAACGTAGTGACTCTAGGCTTCGGGACCAGAACGGGTTCTGTAATCACGCCAAGTTGCCTTACTTAGCGACATCAGTATTCGTTTTAATTCCGCGGAACGACAGTGGCTTGGTTTGGATTGTGGAAGCTTCCAACGAGCTGGATCTGGGCACTGCCAGGGGAACCGTCTTTCAAGTAGTTCCAATCAGCACTCATAACCAGGGCTGTCAGGTAGTTACAACGTTTAATGTGGCGCTTTGGTTTTGTCCAATCTTACGCGTACTCAGCGCAGCATACATACAACATAGCTTAGTCCTAATGGAAAAAAGAACAAGGCATTTATAGGGTTAATAAGCTTTGCTTTACAAGTCCCGTTTGATAGTTGCTGGGGAGATCGAAATAACGATAATAATAATTATAATAATTATAGAATTAATAATAATAGCAAAAGTAGCAAAATAGTTAGTAGTTTAAATGTGAAAATAAGGACGTATCGTTTGCTCCGCCGTAGTCCTGTTATCAGGTGAGGTTCCCAGCACCCGCAGTTCACATCAAATTAATCCATGGTAAACTCCAGGTGTAGGATGGAGACGTATTGCTAAGTGACAAAGTGTAAGTGGATGAGTACATCATCCAACCGACTTTAAAATACTCTTAGTGTCGCTGCACAGACGAGCAATTCTGGAAGAGCATTCCACGGGTGACAGAAAAGAGTGGAAAAGAACTTTCTGCGGCACTCCAGGTGTCTATATTGTCCAGCGAGTTTCAATGAGTGGCCCATCACGGTTGTATTGGTGCTGAGTCGAGGTAAAGGGCTGCACATATGATGTGGGTCTCGCAGAATCGAGTATGCGATAATCAAGTCGCCTCGTAGTCTGCGAAAGCTTCCACTGTATACCCCCAATCCTGCAGCCTCTCCTCGTATGAAGGATTGCGCATTCCAATTATGCTCTTAGATACCCGACGTTGTGGCTGCTCCATTGAATTGCGATCGCGTTTCAGTCGTAGATGCTAGGCTTGAATTGTATATTCGACATGTGGGCGAACATACGCACTGAGCATTTGTCGAAATATGGTGCTGTTTATTTGTTCAAACCCCCGTCGCAACAGGCCGACGTGTTGGTTCCCGGTCTTCGAGAGCTTTTCGGACTGCCTGGAGCAACCCGAGTCATCTTGAACCAGGACACCCAAGTCATGTTCGATATTTGCTTGTTGCAGCAGATTCGTTCCTAGCCGGTATGAGTAGCTGCTCTGATGTCGGATGGAAAGCACCTAGCATTTACTGACGTTGAAATGCAATACGTTTTGGGTTGACCATTGATACACCGTACCTAGGTCACTCTGAAGCACATGTTGGTTGGCGTTCGCCTGGATCCTGCGCCAAATCAACATATCGTCGGCAAACATAAGGGGGTTTGAAGCGGTTCCCTAGAACTGAGCACTTGGACTTATATGGGTCCGATAAAGAGCTCCGAACACTGACTACTAATTGCCATTGATGTATATAGTTGGTAATCCAGCAGAAAATAGGTACTCTAATAATCTCTCACTTAGTAGTACCTTAAGTACAGAGCATTGCTTGCATCGGAAGGCAACATCGTGTCCGCAACGATGGTGTGCGTAGGTGGATGTTAGGCACTGAAACTGAATGTGATTTCTTGGAACAACAGGTAGCGCTGTGTAACTTGCGTTGGCTTGGGCATGTGCTACGTATGCCTAGTCACCGCTTACCTAATAGGGCCTTGTTTAGTCTGCCAGGTGTACGGTGGCGCAAGGCTCTAGATGGACCTAAGTTGAGTTGGCAGCGGGAAATGAAGGCACTGAGGACCAAACTGGGTGTTGTTGGTCCTTCTCATCTTCCGAGCTGGAGTCCACTTTACTTACCTGGTGTTTGGCTCGCGACTTTATAGGGCATGTCTCTCCACAGACACTAGTGGTTCCTCTGCTGCCGTCCGCTAGTGGGATACCCTATTTAAAGTGTGTTTGATGCTGAGTGCTCTGCGGCGTAATTGCTGGTTATGACGCAGGGCAGTGAAAGCCGCAAGGAAGCTGTCTCGCCGATGCCACCTTCGCTTCGCATGATAGCCAACTGTTTGTGACGGTATGTTGTCTACACAAGCTGTTAGCGCCTTGACCTTGAACGTTTGCTTACGGCATTAAGTTTTTCGGTAAGTCCCACTTCTCTTCCCCTTATAATTCTTCATTTCCTAGCTCCTCCTGGTTGTATGGCAGCGAAGCAAGCGTTCATATGGCTGATGTAATGCGGATGTTGATGACACAATGAAACAGAACAAAAATGGGAAAATCGGACAACTCTGACGAACACCACTTGTGGTCGGAATGCTATCTGATAAGCCACCGTAAACTCTGAAGCGGCCTGAAGTATTCAAGTATAGAGTACGTAGCATGTTCACATATTTTGTGTAAACACATTTCCGCGCAAGTATTTCAAACAGCATCGATCGATCGACTGAATCGAACGCACTCCTGCAATCGAGGAACAGAGCTTTTGCCGGTCTGTGGTATGCGTGGCGCTGTTCTAGTACCTTCCGCAATGTGTATCTATGGTCTATACAGCATCGTCTTGGGCGGAAACCTGCCTACTCTTCTTTACTCTGAGATTCCCGTTCCACAGGGAGGCGACGAACGAGAATCGAGACTAGTAACTTTGTCACAACTGGCGTTAGGCTAATACTTCTGTGATTAGCACAGTCTGTGCGACTGCCCTTCTTGTATATTGCCACTATAATCGATTCTCTCCGATCAGTCGGTCAACGCTCTTCCTTCCAGGTATGTGCGAATAGAGAGGTCAGTGCTTTGCAGAGGTCCGCACCTCCATGCTTACGTAGTGCAGGTGGGAGGGAATCCGGACCAGCGGCAGGAAAACGATTGAGGGCTGTGAGCGGGTTTCGGACTCGGCCTACGACGGAGGCTCTGAACTAGCTGTCCATGGCTCATTCTGCATCATCTGAGTTGGCAGAGGTCCGGGAGCTAGGGGCCAGCTGAACTGACCTGGAAAGTGTTCTGCCCAAAGAACCATACGGCGCTCCTTAATGTGAAGCAGAGTTCCCACGCTGTCTATGTTTGTCTCACTGATGCCTGCTTTCCTGGGACCTGTGGTGCTGATCAGCTGCAAGAACTTGCGTTAACTTTCTACTGTTTCTGTCTCCTTCATTTTTGAGCTCCACAGGTCCACCAGACTTCCTAGTCAGGACGTAGGCCACGCTTTACTTCCCGCCTAACTGACCGTCTCTTCACGTTTTGCTCAGAGCTAGCCGGGAGTTTTCTTCTAGATTCCAACTGGTTCATCGACCACTAGGATATCCAGTGACTAGTTCGGTGACGATGGGTAGTGCCACAAGCAAATGTTGCTCTGTCGTGCAAGGCGACAAACTCCCATTTACCCTACGCAGGCTCGAATCCGCGCCGTTGCATTACATGACAAGATGGTTACCTTTAGACTTTAGGACGGTAAATGAATCGCCAGCTGCACGCCATAATGGCGCTTTACTGCCGTGCGACCGCCACCAGTGGGGCGTGATCTAAGTATAGCGCGATGAAGCCCTCCCCTACGCGGATTCGAACCAGTGACCTTAGGTACGCAAGCCAGACTTGCAGACGGCGCGGTATTCTGCCCGTCGCCAGAAGGTAACGGGCATGCCTTGTAAACTGATCGCGGTAGTTCGAGCGGGCGTAGGGGCACGGCAAATCTCACAGTGCCCTTAACCCACATCCGACCAGTCGTGGTTGCACTCCAGCAAAGCGCCGGTACTGTGTACCGGCGTAATGAAGTTGTCTTTTTACTTTATTCGTGTAAATACTAATAATTTCAGACTATTAGCTTTTAGTGTAGAAACAAAGTTTGGCAAATGCATGCGTTTTGTAAAGTTTCTTCAGGGACGATAACAATAACTGGTAAGTATGTACATTGGTACAAACAAGAGGAAACACCGGTGTCTTAACCGTTCATACTAGGCTTTCTGCCGCTGACCTATAACTGCTTTTGGACGCAAGGCACTGGTTGCATCCACATTAAATAACAGCCCCGGCGAACCGGAGGACTCGGAAATTGGTAGGACCCATCAGGATCCTGAACATCTTATTTACCTCTGTCCGATGCTCCAAGGTCGAAAGTGCATATGGATCAAAGCTGTTAGCGGCTAGCGTAAACACCTAGTCTGACTTGATGCACAGCCCCGCATTCTACCCGGTTTCGCACATGCTACTTCGTACGAGAAAACAGGGCCCTGTCGGCTTTTCTTATGCAACCAGCTCCGCAGTTGCATACCTTGGTGGCGTTCAGCCGCCAGTAAAATAATGCTCCATGGGTGACTACATTATTACGAGGTAAAGTTTGGATATATCTATACTTACTCCTAGTGTAAACCTTTCTGTCATTCTAAGACATTTAATCGGTCGACCAAGTGGAAGATGCACTTGGGAACCGCCTACAGCAAACTGAGCAGCTGTCTATTTTCTACTATTAGGATATACAAACTGTTTGTGTAACTTATTAGTTAGTATCTACCGACATTAGGAAATATACGATGCATTACTCAGCATAGCTGGAAAGAAACTATTGAGACAACAAAATTAAACTATCTGACTGACAGCCAGTTACCTGTTTATCAATACAGAAATGGTCGCAAATTGTTTGCACCAAATAACGCTTCAGGAACCAGCATGAATCACATGTGCTTGACGGTGAAATTTTTGTGAGTACTCGCCCGAGAACTGCCAGTTAGATGGGGCTAGTTTAAACGCTAATGGGATAAAGTGCATGCTGAGAACACAAGACAAATACGCTCCCAGACGTGGTGTAATAAACAGTGGATAAAGTGTCGAAATCATTGAAACGCAAAAATAGCTACAAAGTATATGGTTTGTGATCTTGACGTCTGGAAGTCTAACCAAGTGTAAAACTAACGAACAAGTTCCCGAAATATTTGGCAACAAAAGCTCAGGGCCAATACTTTCAACATGTTCACCACCACGGCTTAATTGATAGTTATCTGCACCGTTACATGCACAAAGGGAACGAATACTGGTGTACGTGATATCCAAAAACTGGGGCTCTTTTGAATTATCCGGTGTTATAGCCTCTTGGTGAAGTGTTGTAGTTTGGTTTTAGTAGGTTTCAGTATGGATGATAGGGATCCTTGAGGATCTGATACACCAGGTACGATCAACACGCAGACGATAATAATGTTCACTGGAAACACTTAGGACATTTAGTTTCTATAGGTAAGGAAGGCGCGAGCAAACCCTTAACCTTTTCAGTCACCATTCCTTGTGGATTCACAATATTGGTGAGGTTATTTTCGTTAAGACTGTCACACTTGGATGACTATTTTACATGCGGCTGCAAGTGAGTGTGGAGTATTTCCTAAAATAAAATTAAGGTTAAACGGGCCACACGCACACCGCCCTCGGCCTACTTCTTACCTAGCTTTCTTCTTTGCTTTGTCCGCCAGACTGGAGCATCCAAAATCATTCTGAACGAGCACCCCATGCGCAGTTTCATGGAACGTGTGCTGCGAATGCTCCGTGTTAAACTAGAGCGTCTCAAACTGACCACGCATGCGACCTACTGAGTTAGTCTTGCAGAGGTAGGTGGCCCTCTACTTACCTGATTGCCGTCAACTATTCAGGTCGCCCGCAAAGTATGACGTTAGCACTTTCGCAAGGTCGCCTATGAACAATCTACATATCCGGGATTACAGAACCGCGGCTTGACAGACACCACAGTACAACCCTAATGGTTTGGACAAGGTGTTATGAATTCGCACATTCAAGCAGCTTTGGAGAAAAAAGAATTGATCCAGCTGTCCCCTTTATTGCCCGATAACCCACAATTGATTCCACCTAGCTGGCTTTGGTTGCAGGTAAGCATATCGCTGCTAGGAGACAATATTTGACACCGTGCGAACATTCTTTATCCTCATCTTACCCCAATAGATTCACGTGAGAAGTTTAGAGTTCACACTAGAAAACCGTCGTTGGTCGCAACCAACGGCTCCTGCGCTGTAATTCACTTACTTATGGGAGATTCATTTAATTTGTCAAATAGCAGCCAGTGACTGCTGATGGTAGCGAATGTATTTTCTTTACTGCTAGCCACTGACAGATGGGACTAGCTTACGATTGGAAGTCATACGCGGTGGGGTTTTGTAAAACGGCAGCATGGCTTTACCTGGCTTCTAGCGCAAAATCTTCATTGGAGTTGCTTAAGACCTTGGGGTAAGTTGTATTCAATTTTTGCGTGGGGCACGATGCTCAGAGGAATTGTAGTTGATTTTAGATGTCTATGCAGAAACATAAAGAAAAACTACGCCAGCACTGCGCACTTCATATCGTATTATTTAAAAGGAAAAGAGGAGGTTAAAAAAGCTATTGTAGATGTTCAAAGTTGAAAAGCTAGACCAATCAGCTGCTCGTCACACGTTTCACTTACGAAATATGTACTCTCCGGTGTTGTAGAGGAAGTTTGATAGCAGGACATAATAAACGATGCTAGCACCAATCGTGGCGACTTGAGAAAAGACCAATGCGATGATGCGTCCCGCCTTGCCAAAATGATATTCTGATGCGTCTGCAATATCCACATATACAGACCTTGGTAGATTCTTGATGACTGCAAACGGGCAAAAGTATGGTGTATTGAAGTTATATAATAATTGGTTCTGAACGTGCCCCGTCGATTGGAACCAAAAGTTATATGCACACGTGAGGAAAAATCTTTCCTTGTTACACGAGACTCTACAAAAAGCAAGATGTGTAACAAACGACAGATGCAAGAAAAAAAGTCCAATGCGGCGGTTGCCGAGTGTGAGCTGGGGTAAACATTCGTTCCGCAGCAACAAAGTAATTCTAGCAACATTAAATAGATTAAGTTACACCTCAGTATCGAATCTAATGCACTGCTAACTTAGCTATCGTATCAGTTTCTAACAAGCAAGCAGGAATGAATATCAGTGTTAGTAATGAATGTGAATTCGAAGTAAATTTGATCCAATGAGAGTATATATCCCAGAACCAGGCGCATAGAATGTATACGTCTTCGCCTCGTCAACACTATACAGAACATTACAACGACCATCGTTCGAAGAGTATAGCTTCGTTGAGGCCCTTACTGTTCCGCACATCAGAACCCGAACTATTCAGTAGAGAACTATCATTCGTGAGTAGGTAATACTGACAGCTCTACAGGCAGGCAGATGCACATCTTCCGTTGGTTTCTTCTGCCATCCCCGAGATATGCGGTTGCAAGGGTAAAAATGCCTAGCGCGCACCAGCCTGGAAGGTCTGAAAAACAAACAGCACAACTACTAGTGGTAACCGATTTCGTTTCCAGTCACCAAATCAGCTGCTGATTTCCAAGATGAGTGCGTAGATTCAGTACTAATGTAACCAACCCAGGCACCACGGACTGGTACTGACCTACATGCCTTACAACCCGATAAGCCCGCAACCACAAGGCGGCACGAATTTATTACATGTGAGGGTTGTTCAAAACAGATTTTTCGAGACAGAACTCCCATCCACTGAGAATAACGAAACTTTGCACAGATATTAGTTATCCACCATCAAGGTACCACATAATTTAATTACGTTTCTTCCAACGTTTTATGCAGTGGAATGGACTACGTTTGTCGTAGGCCTCAGCTTGAATCGAAATCCATGGCCTGACCTCAGATATTAGAGTCTCCTTGTCAGGAAAGTGATTTCACTTAAGAAATGACTACATATTCGGAAAGGAATAAAGTCAGATGTTGCATGGTCTGGAGAGTATGGAGGACAAGAAAGTAATTCATGGCCACAGGGTAGCGATTTTGACTTTAGCGACTTTTGCGGAATGGATAGGTGCATCGTCGTGGAGGTACAGAACACTAATGGTTAGCTGAGCAAAACTCACTTTCGGTAAAGCCATTCTTACTTGATGTAGTAATTTGTTCCAGGAGGTTTCAGTAATAAAGACAATTTTGTGAAGGTAACCTATCATTATTCATCCTTGCTTGATCCATACTACTTTGAACATGATCTTGCAGGTCGAAGTTAGGACATGTAGCCTCTTTGGAGTTACTGGATCTAAATTTTCCATTGTTTCGACTAGGCTTTGGTTCCTGGATCATATTGAACGTCGCAAAACACAGTCCTTCAGGGACTAACCCTTTATTCAACAAACCAAGGTCAGCAAAAATGGAAACCTAACTATCATATGGAACCCTTGAACTAAAGAACTAGGTCACTTCCATAACTAGTGACGCTACTGCATTCACGGGATTCTTCTTCCTTGGAATCAGTCAAACAAACCCCTGCAGCACAGCCAAGTACGAACCAATCAGCGCATAGACAAAATATACATAGGGGTCCAATCAACGTCTCTGTTCGCTTACCGCAAGCTAGCTGCTTTCTTCGTCTTGCAAATCCGCATCGTATTTCTGTTTGCAGAACTCCATCAGTGATGTTCCTATGTTTTATTATATCTAATTTATTTGATGCAAAAATTCTCCTAGGTTATCTGGCACACGACCAAATGATTCCGAGAGCCAGTGACCCTTTCCTGATTCTGAGAAAAGGTGGGCATCCTGCCAATCCTTGTGAATAAAACCTTTCGCATACTCAAATGATCATGGTAACATTTTGCTAATGACCACAGATTAATCTTGACAACTAGGACGATTTGAGGAACGGTTACTTAATGACAGCTTTCAATTTGAGATGTTGTCCACATCAATGGCTGAAGCCGGTGACCGAAATAAATAGCTGTCTAGTCTATAGTTCTACTACATGTAAAGTGGTGATGCCAAATTTAAACACTATCGTATGATGACGCATTAATGGCATAGCCCAGTTTCACTTCATCATATGCTCTATTTAGGCTGTTTCCTTTTAAGTAAAATACCCGATAATAAATTTATATCCACCTGAATCCATAATGCCATAAATACTACTTCTATTCAAAACCTAAGAATGAAAACATCTACTCGCACGGGTTTCCGGGTTTCCGATGGAGCAATCCAAATAAAAGTATACAGGAAACCATATTGGACGGAACAATACATGCACTTTCATAGTTAGGGCCCCACTCAGCCATAAAGTAACGCTGGTGCGAACACTAACCGATCGGGCATAGAAAATCTGCAGCGAAGACACCATAAAAGCCGAACTCGTAAGGATCCAAGAAACGCTTCTCGAAAATGGATATCCGAGGCGATTTATCGAGACCCATATGAGGCGATGCATACCAAATAGCAAAACAATCCGTTGAAAAGAAACAGTTTTACCTGACACTTCCATTTAGAGGAAATAGTGCGACTGAGACATGCACGCGTCGACTACAGTAAAGGTGCAAAAAGACCTTTAATGTGGGCTCAACTGAATGTTGTTTTCACTAGCAGACCTTTAATGGTTCCGAGATTCAAAGATCGAGTGCCTGATCATCTTCAATCGATGTTAATCTACCGGTTCACCTGCCCTTTCGAGACCAGGTACATTGGACGGACGACCAGGCATTTAGGTAAGAGAATTAAGGAACACCTCCCAGGTTGGCTCTACAATCGCGAGAATAGGACAAGCTGCAGCGCGATTACAAATCATCTAATCAACACAGGCCACCAGATAAACAAACGTACTTCCTTTCAGATTCCCTACAAAATACCACCAAGGCAATACCATCGTGTAAGAGCAAGCCTACTTGCAGCCGCTGAGGCAGTATGCATACGCCTAACAAATCCGGACTTGTGTGTCCAGAAGAAGCTGATACAAACACTACAACTTCCTTGGCCGACCACCAGCAGGGAAGGAAGTGATGGCACTCCGCAACTCCACCTGACTTCAGTCATGTGATCAGATGACTGCCACCATGAATTTGCTGATCAATTGTTTATTTGTTATACTGACGATTGCAACAGACATTGCCCTGATGTCTATTTTTGTATCAGCCTGAAGAAGAATTAATCGAAAATAATTGTTCGGTTACAACTTCGTTTTGTTCATCTTTCTGAATATACAAATATATAAATATAATATATATATATGCTTGCCCAATCTAAAGCCTTCATTTCAAGTGGAAGTTGATCAGAGGAAATCGTTATTCAGCGACCCACGCCAGTTTGAATACTGGTGTACTAGGAAGTAGAGTTAAACGGTCGGGTAGACACAACCGGTAAGGACAAAGGCTATTGCATCGTAACAACAAAGATGGTGCCGTTTCAGGTTGCAATAAATAAGTAAACATTTTCCATCAAGTTGCTACTAGTGCAATCAATGAAGGTGCGTTGATCAGCTAAGTTCAGCTTTTCTCATGTTTCGGGAATCGATTTGATATTAACTGGCTAGTAATCCAGTAGCTTCACTTTTCGCTTCGAATATACAAAACGCACTCCAAGGAATGACACAGCTGCAGAGTTTTCCAGTGTTTTGCTCGTTTAGCTTGATAATTATGTTGCAGACTTCACGTCACCAACCGAGTTTGTGTCTCGACTGCGTAGCAATACATGAGGTGCTTCGTTAATGCCAGTCCATATGTGAATATTGGGTGTTTGTAATAACAAGTCATTCTAATCAATTGCTCACACGAGTTCTCTTGTACATTTGAGTCGCTGTTTTATTACTGCGATGTGAAATGTCGGGTGGTAACCTCATAAGTGCCAGATTCTTCTGGTTACTGAAACAGGCTCACTGGGGATGACGGTCTATTAGGTTGCATGCAGCGATTTTTACAGCGCTTGAGTTCCTTGAGATGTGGTTGCAAGTATCGGAAAACAGTCAAAGCAAGTTGCTAATGTTTCGAGTAGTACTAGAATCATACCATCAGGGCAACTCACGTCAACCGGTTCACCCAGAATGAGGGATGTGAATAGGAATGAATTTTAGCGAGTTCGGTGAACACCGCTTGATGTTAGATACACAATATGCCTTAGCTCATAACTCGACATGCAGTTGGCTGGATTACCGAACAACCTCCTCGCGGTGCCAGCTGGGTGGTTCGGGGTATTCCCGTTCCAATAAATGGTTCGGCAGCAATGTTCCATGACGTGGTGGGTTTTCGCCTTGCAAGTGTTCTCTCCATAAGAGCCACAAATGGCCGTTTACGCTGTGAAGTGGCGGATGTGACTCGCTACTAAGCAAAGTCACCGCCCCTTGCTTCATCCTGGCGAAGCATTGTATTCCAGCAACTTTATGCTGTACTTCTGAGGAACATTGGCCCTCTCTTTGACAAAGAAACAAACGAAAGGCGTATGAAATAAGCAATCATTCACCGGCTCCCAATGGGCGCGATTCTCTGAATACGCTCCGCTGCCTTGCGGTCAGGCTGTTCAACCAGGTTCGGGGTGGTGTCCCCTAAGTCAACACCCTACTCCGGCTTGGGCAACTACGTAGTATCTCGCCCTCTGACGAAACCATGGACTACGATGTGCTGTGTTATATTTTCGTTCACGATTTCTGCACCTTCTTTGGAGTCCCATGGTTTCTGCTGGCTCTATTTCTATTCGTAGACGGTTGCAGATGATTATATATATATATATGTATATATATATATATATATATATATATATACAGTTGGGCTAAACCAGCTTACACTTAAACTAGGTATTTTAATGTGGATAAGATTCATTCCACTTTATTTGC